AAAAAAAAAAAAAAACCCCAGCCTAACTGCTTGACCGCTATGTGCTTTGGACAAAGATCCACTTCTTCCAGTCTCAATTTCCCCAGCTATGCAGTAAGAAGAACAAAATTAACCATAGGATTAAAAATTAGGCCATAGGATTGTTCTGAGAAGTCAATTAAATAATAAAGAGGCTGCAAAGCACCAAGGAGGCCAGGCCCGGGACAGGTATCTCCGAGGATCAGAGCATCTGATAAACTGGTGTGGCGCCGTAACAGACGACTCAGAACCAGGTGACTTCCGGTGTTTCCATTCTGCCTCACACGCCAATAAGGTAAGAACAGCATGTTTTATTCTTTGCCTAGGTTACTGGCATCATTATCTTCTCTCCCCAAACTTTCACTGCAGTGTACTTAAACTTCTTTTAGGAAATAGGATTCCAGTGGTTCTCTATTTCTTCCTATAAAAATAAAGAGACCACCCACTTCACTAAGTTTTGAGAACAAACATAAGATTATAGAGGCAAAGTAAACTGCCTCTAAAAGGATGTAAACTGTAATATATCATTTAGTGCAAGATAGTGGAATGCTCAGTTTCTTAAAAACTGAGACCATCGGGCGGCGCCTGTGGCTCAGTGAGTAGGGTGCCGGCCCTATATACCAAGGGTGGCAGGTTCAAGCTCGGCCTCAGCCAAACTGCAACAAAAAATTGCTGGGCATTGTGGTGGGTACCTGTAGTCCCAGCTACTCAGGAGGCTGAGGCAAGAGAATTGCCTAAGCCCAGGAGATAGAGGTTGCTGTGAGCTGTGATGCCACTCTACCAAGGACGATGAAATGAGACTCTGTCTCAAAAAAAAAAAAACTGAGACCATCTGTACTACAAAAAGTACCATCAGCCAAGTACTACTGTTTCATGTATCAAGGCAGATAATTTCTTCCCTTGCTTCTACTGATAAATTAACTTTTGAAAGGTTGAACATTTCATAGTAAGCCAGAAATAACCACTTTCTTCACCTTCATGCTTTAAGCAGATGCCAAGATCAAGTAAGAGCTAAGTGATAATTAAGGACATATGCTTAAAGTGCCAATGTGCACAGTGTATCTAAACACAATTACATTTTAAAATAAATCCATAAATATTATTCTAAAATTTTAAACTTCAAACTGACATATTTTTAAACCATACTATGTCCCCCAAAGTAAAAAAGGAATCAATTTTCTCAAAAATTTAAACACTCATATATTAAAGGGGAATGAGTTGGGGGTTTTTTTGTTTTTGTTTTTTTGAGACAGAGCCTCAAGCTATTGTTCTGGGTAGAGTGCTATGGCATCACAGCTCACAGCAACCTCCAACTCCTGGGCTCAAGCGATTC